TGTGTGTGAACGAGCTCTAGTGTGTGTGAACGAGCTCTAGTGTGTTTGAACGAGCTCTAGTGTGTGTGAACGAGCTCTAGTGTGTGTGAACGAGCTCTAGTGTGTGTGAGCTCTAGCAGGGTTCCTGCACACTTTTGAAAGTCAAATTTAAGGCTTTTTAAGACCTTTTTAAGACCTGAAGAAATCAAAATTAATACCGTACATTAGGGCTGTGCAGTATTGACAAAAATATATATTGATATTTTCAACGTTTTGTTGATAATAATTAGATGATATTTTACTGATTGTGTTTTTGTGCTGGTGCCATGGCTGGTTTAGGTCTGTTGTTGACAGCTGACTCACGAAGATATTCATATTTTTCATATTCTATGCAGTGGTCAGTTCACAGCAGTGACAGAAATTCATATATTAATTAAGGGGCAATATTTGCCACCTTAAATTGATTTTTTCAGGGGCATTTTCACCTATATATGGACATTTTTTCTAAACTTATTCAGAGTTATGCATCACCTTTAATGTCAAATACTATCATTCAAATTAAATTATACAGTAATTATACAATAATACTTAATTATATAATAATCATACAGTACCACTGTTACCAGTCAAATTAGATCATTCAATCAAAATCCATCTTTGCAGTGCAGAGGTGACAGAAGCGGCATCAGAAGTGGCATTAATATATTTACACTCCATTTACAACTGCATAAATAAAGCTATGAGATATATATTTTTAAATCAATATTCAATATTTAAATATGAAATGATTTCTAATTTTAACATTTTATTTAAAGGGTACTTTAAATATGAAACCGCAGCGGCAAATCACTGTTGTGAGTAAGTGAGTTGAGGGAGTCATTCATTCAACCGATTCGTTCAAACGGCTGATTCATTCGGGAAAGAAGCGAGTGATTCGTTCAAAACGCGGATTTCAATCAAGAAATCATCGCTGTCGGTTGCATTGAGACTCTGCTACGGTTTCATTTTAAAATGATAGTCGGCGAAATAAAGGGAAAACAAACAATATTGACAATATTGTGTCTAAAAAGTAACTCAATGTTAACTTATTGTTAATTTTACTGTTGTACAACATAAATATCACACTTGGAATCGTGCACGGGAAAACGGCACTCTTTCTGATGTGATATTCTAATATAAGAACATAATATGATATAAATATAAGACAAAAACTAATTTGGGGACATAACAGTTACACTGCACACATCACGCAGTGAAAGCACGAGACAAATGCGATGTCAGCTCGCAGTGCCTCGTACATTGTTAAAACAATGATTACAATATCATAATAGACAATACACATCGCACACCATACGCACATAAAGAATGAACTTACAACTGAACTGACATTTACGACCTTTCTTCTCCTTCTCTCCTCTCGCGTGCAGGAGACAGTTATGCTGCCGCGACTCGCGAGTGACGCGAAATGTCACGTGAACTAGCAAATCCACAAAGATAGAATAATATATAAATACAAATACGTACGCTAATTAGATAGTTTTAATTTGGAAAGCTTTTAGATATGTCTAAGTCAAAGTGTCATCTAAAATTTAAGACCTTTCATAAGTAAAAATAAGACTTTATAAGACTTTTTATGGCCTTAAATTTTAAAAATCTAATTTAAGACTTTTTAAGACTTTTTAAGGATCCGCGGGAACCCTGTCTAGTGTGTGTGAACGAGCTCTAGTGTGTGTGAACGAGCTCTAGTGTGTGTGAACGAGCTCTAGTGTGTGTGAACGAGCTCTAGTGTGTTTGAACGAGCTCTAGTGTGTGTGAACGAGCTCTAGTGTGTGTGAATGAGCGCTAGTGTGTGTGAGCTCTAGTGTGTGTGAACGAGCTCTAGTGTGTGTGAGCTCTAGTGTGTGTGAACGAGCTCTAGTGTGTGTGATCGAGCTCTAGTGTGTGTGAACGAGCTCTAGTGTGTGTGAACGAGCTCTAGTGTGTGTGAACGAGCTCTAGTGTGTGTGAACGAGCTCTAGTGTGTGTGAGCTCTAGTGTGTGTGTGAACGAGCTCTAGTGTGTGTGAACGAGCGCTAGTGTGTGTGAGCTCTAGTGTGTGTGTGAACGAGCTCTAGTGTGTGTGAGCTCTAGTGTGTGTGAACGAGCTCTAGTGTGTGTGATCGAGCTCTAGTGTGTGTGAACGAGCTCTAGTGTGTGTGAACGAGCTCTAGTGTGTGTGAACAAGCTCTAGTGTGTGTGAACGAGCTCTAGTGTGTGTGAACGAGCTCTAGTGTGTGTGAACGAGCTCTAGTGTGTGTGAACGAGCTCTAGTGTGTGTGAGCTCTAGTGTGTGTGTGAACGAGCTCTAGTGTGTGTGAACGAGCGCTAGTGTGTGTGAGCTCTAGTGTGTGTGTGAACGAGCTCTAGTGTGTGTGAGCTCTAGTGTGTGTGAACGAGCTCTAGTGTGTGTGATCGAGCTCTAGTGTGTGTGAACGAGCTCTAGTGTGTGTGAACGAGCTCTAGTGTGTGTGAACAAGCTCTAGTGTGTGTGAACGAGCTCTAGTGTGTGTGAACGAGCTCTAGTGTGTGTGAACGAGCTCTAGTGTGTGTGAACGAGCTCTAGTGTGTGTGAACGAGCTCTAGTGTGTGTGAACGAGCTCTAGTGTGTGTGAACGAGCTCTAGTGTGTGTGAACGAGCTCTAGTGTGTGTGAACGAGCTCTAGTGTGTGTGAACGAGCTCTAGTGTGTGTGAACGAGCTCAAGTGTGTGTGAACGAGCTCTAGTGTGTGTGAACAAGCTCTAGTGTGTGTGAACGAGCTCTAGTGTGTGTGAACAAGCTCTAGTGTGTGTGAACGAGCTCTAGTGTGTGTGAACGAGCTATAGTGTGTGTGAACGAGCTCTAGTGTGTGTGAACGAGCTCTAGTGTGTGTGAACGAGCTCTAGTGTGTGTGAACGAGCTCTAGTGTGTGTGAACGAGCTCTAGTGTGTGTGAACAAGCTCTAGTGTGTGTGAACGAGCTCTAGTGTGTGTGAACGAGCTCTAGTGTGTGTGAACGAGCTCTAGTGTGTGTGTGAACGAGCTCTAGTGTGTGTGAACGAGCTCTAGTGTGTGTGAACGAGCTCTAGTGTGTGTGAACGAGCTCTAGTGTGTGTGAACGAGCTCTAGTGTGTGTGAACGAGCTCTAGTGTGTGTGAACGAGCTCTAGTGTGTGTGAACGAGCTCTAGTGTGTGTGAACGAGCTCTAGTGTGTGTGAACGAGCTCTAGTGTGTGTGAACGAGCTCTAGTGTGTGTGAACGAGCTCTAGTGTGTGTGAACGAGCTCTAGTGTGTGTGAACGAGCTCTAGTGTGTGTGAACGAGCTCTAGTGTGTGTGAACGAGCTCTAGTGTGTGTGAACGAGCTCTAGTGTGTGTGAACGAGCTCTAGTGTGACATCATTAACCAGCGGGACATCAATTTCACCAATTTGCGCAAATATGATTTCGGGAAACAGTCGTGACGAGCTTGATGATTTCTTCACCGATGCATCGCACTGTGACAGTGAAGCAGCGAGTTACAGCGTTATACGGGAACACACACTCCTGGTCAGATTTCTTATCGCGCTGAAACATATGGAGCTAAAAGAGTCTCAATAAAGATAGATGCACACACTACATCCACATATGCACACACAGGATTCATAAAGGTATTTCTGATGGACACACAAATATATCTTGATTTATAAACTGCTTGCGGTCTGTGAACTTCACGGCATTTGTGTGTGAATTTTGAGACTCGCCTGACTTGGCTCGACTGCCTTTTTTTTAAACAGGGAATGAACTGCAACCAATCAGATATCTCCCTTGTTTTAGCCAATCACAAGAAGGCAGATGTGGATTAGAACCCGTGACCTCTGACACGCTTGGCAAAAGATCGACCACGAGACCATCGAAGAACTCAAACAAAATCTGCGGATCGATGGATTTATGTACGGGTTGAGCAGCGCCGGATGGTGTTGCTAAGAACTTGCAATGTATAACTATTATCAGACGGCCCTCGAAACACTACCGGCCCACCGGGAAAAAGTCCCGACTCTCCCGATTGCCACTCCGCTACTGAAACAACCTTTTTTTGGGGTCGACAGCTTATAAAAAATTATTTCTGGGTTGTTTAGCTTGTTTGCTGTACACCTTGTCACACAGCAGCTTTTAGACATTGTTTTGTTTTTTGTTCTAAGTCATAAATGACGAGGAGGCAGCCTCTCGCAATGCAAAGTCAATGGAGACGGCTGGATGGTTTCCCCCCCGGTGGGGGCGTGGCCTAATACGCTCTGTCTCTATGCGTATAGCGCTGTGTGAACGCGTTCATCTGATTGGCTTATAAGTGAACAATCCCCCACGTGGGGTGCGTTCTTGTGATTGGCTAAACAAGGGAGATATCTGATTGGTTGCAGATCATTCCCTGTTTAAAAAAAGTGGTGAATGAAGTTCACAGACCGCAAGCAGTTTGTAAATCAAGATATGTTTGTGTGTGCATCAGAAATACATTTTTGAATCTTGTGTGCATTTGTACATTTTGTGTGCATTTCTGAATTGTGTGTGTATTTATGAATATTCTGTGCTTTTTCAATTTTGTGTGTGCATATGTGAATGTAGTGTGTGCATTTATCTTCATTGAGACTCTTTTAGCTCCATAGACACACCACACACACACAGTGGAATCACACTGGGAAAATCTCAGAGTAAAACTGGGAGTTGTGAAAAATATTATACACCAGATGAGAAGTTTATCATCTTTTTACTCTTTTAGTTAATTTTATAACTGTATCATACATCTCTTTTAATGTATTTTATAACTGTTTTAATTTTCCTTGCTTTTGTTTTGTGATTATTTTAATTGCTCTCTGTAAAGCACTTTGAATAGCCGTAGTGTATGACATGTGCTGTGTAAATAAACTGGCCTTGATCTGGGAATACTCAGAGGAGCACAGGGGAAGTGCTCTATTGTTGAGCCGTATCTGATCATGTGGAGATGACAGGGCTGATGTTGTGTCTCTGGTGCGCAGGTCGATCCACATGCGCTTCGAGAAGGAGGTGGAGGTGAAGGGCATCCCAGCGTACCGCTTCACTCCTCCTCGAGCCGTGCTCGCCAGCGGGAAGAACAACCCGGAGAACGAGGGCTTCTGCGTCACGCCCAAGAAGTGCCTGGACGACGGCGTGCTGGACGTGTCTGTGTGCCGCAAAGGTGCAGAACCATCACACACATTTAACTCACACAAGTAATTACTCAAATAAGTCATTTCATTTAATCATTCATTTAAAGGGGTGGTTGATTGTGATTTCCCTTTTCTAGCTTTAGTTAGTGTGTAATGTTGCTGTTTGAGCGTAAACAACATCTGCAAAGTTACAATGCTCAAAGTTCAAAGCAAAGGAAGAGATTTTATTTTAAAGAAATCGCTTTTTAAGGACTACAACAAACGGCTGGTAGGGACTACACAAGCTTCCTCACGGGTTAGTGACATCACTAACCCTAAAATTTACATAAACCCCGCCCCCGGAACACGATTTATAGATTATCAAGACAGAATATGCTAATCAATGACTAGAAGATAACTACACATAAGCTCATAAATTGACCAACTAACCATTCAGAGATGTCCTGTTGCTTCTACATGTTGTCACTTCTTCTTGAGTCTCTCCATCATTCTGACTCTGGTTTGAATATAAAAGGATAAAAGTTTTTGAAATTTTCAGTGTTTGAGGTAAAAGGACACGAGCTCTTGAAGCTCCGCCCCCTATGCCGGGAGCAGCAGCTCATTTGCATTTAAAGGGACAGACACAAAAACGAGACACAAAAAGTGACAATTTTAACATGTTATATACAAATATCTGTGGGGTGTTTTGAGCTAAAACTTCACACACACGCTCTGGGGACATCAGAGATATATTTTACATCTTGTGAAAAGGGCATTATACCACCCCTTTAATTGTATTATTTACTAATTGCTTATTGTCTCATGTGCTTGAAGTCATATATATATACATACATATTTATACACCTTGGTTTTGGGGTTGGTATTTTTTAATGTTTTTGAAAGAGTCTCACCAAAGATGCATTTATTTGATCAAAAATACAGTAAAAATTATGAAATATTATTAGAATTTATAACAGCTGTTTTCTATGTGAATATATAGTAAAGTGTAATTTATTCCTGTGATCAAAGCTGAATTTTCAGCATTCAGAAAACATTCAGAAATCACTCTAAATATGATGATTTGATGCTCATTTCTGATTATTATCCATGTTGAAAAGAGTTTTTGGTCCTTTACATTTTGTGGAAATCGGGATAGAATTCAAACATTGTGGGAAGATTAAAAAAAGAAAGCGAAAATAATACTTTTATTCTTATACGATGCATTAAATTGCATTAAAATATTTAATAAATGCTTTAATACATTTGAGAAAAAAACACATTTAACCTCTTAACCAGCGCCCCATTTTTTGAGAATTTTCTGAAAATGACATACCCAAATACAAATGTCTGTAGCTCTTAAACCCTATGGTCCACATTCATAACTCTGATCTTTTTTTAAACTAGACACTTGAAACTTTGTTACCCAAGAGTCATTATTACTCAAAGTAGCATAGGAACAGAGTAAAACAAGGTAAAATTTACATGAATGTGACTCACGATTTCTTTTAATTAACTTCACTTAGGGAAAAAATGATCAGACTTTTATGTTAAGGGCCTGAAAACACCATAAAGATAAAATTGAATGTCTGACCATGTTTAGATTCAAATTTGAGGATGATACTCCCAAAAATGTAGTTTCTGTAAGCTTTTATTCAAGAAAAGTATAGGCGTCCTTTCCAAAATGCAATTTGGAGACTCCAAATGGACACCTGGCACCCAAACACTTTACATAGGGAGTAAACACTATAGGTCTGCAACAACAATTCAGAACTGTTATGCCCTTCAAACCACACAAGAAAAAAACGATTTCAGCACAACATTTGAACATTTTACCAAAATTATCTTTATTTTGAACAATTCTAATAGCAAAAACAGTGATTTCTCACTACATGTATAGACATTGCAGAAGTGTTCATTTTCCAACTAATGTATAAAATATATAAAAAGAAAAACATAAATGTTTTAGAACATTTGTAATTACAAACGTGGTTTTTACCCAAATAAATTGCAATAAACTGATACTTATAATGAATATCCTATTACTTCCTGTTGCTCTTCGTCATTTTCTGCAAAAAAACCTTCAAATCTCTTCTGTAGTCGACGATCCATGATACAGATGCTCAGATATAAGCTTTAGAGTAAATCCGTGCATTTATGCAAGCTCCATGTGTCAAAACATCGCGTTTATGTGTCTGTTTACATTCTGGTCGGCTAACTATGTGTGTGCGTGCTGCGCGCGTGGCGAAAGCGCACATGTGAATGAAAACTTTGCGCAGTTGAATTTGACGAATGTGCTTGCATGAACTGTCTATCACTGCAATCGATTTTAGTTGGCTAATACCATAGACAGTAAAAGAAATGGACAGAGCGATCTCATTGGAACTCAGTTGAGACAGTTGAAGCCCACTTTTAGCGATTTTTGAGAACTTCCGTTCCTGACGCGCAGACTCAGACCGACTCAAACTAAGCTTGATGACGTGAGCAACCTGTCTGACAGACGTTAATCTTCTAGTAGCTGTGCGTGAAAACTGCCAACGTTAATCTTGCAGAGACGGGGAACTTGAGCAAAGAGTTCTTTGGCGTGAGTGAGCAGGAGTAAGTATCCCGTTGCTTTTATGGACTCATTATCTATGGGCTTCTCCCTTGACGGGACGTCCCCCCGATTGCCTGCGAGCTTCTCCTCCTGTCTGTACGGTAACTTCTGTACAGCGCGACAGAGAGTCGAGTGGTTATGACGCAATCGTTAGCCTATTTTTACTAAATCTGTTTCTACGGGGCCATAGTGTAACATAGAAGGTAATGGAGCCCTTTATACATTGTCGTGTTTCTTTAGAAATAAATAATGGACAAATGGAGTCTTTAAACGCCTCAGATGTAAAGTTATTCGCTGTCAAAGTGACGCAAAAATGAATGGGAGTCAATGGAAATGCTAACGCAAGTGAAGTTCTGCTACAACATGGCGGCACCCGGCCGGCTTCAACTTCCGGTCGATGGATTACCCCCTTGGCTAATACTCCCATCAATCAAAACGTAGCTCAAAGGACATTGGATAGCATTATCCAGGCTTTTATCCAGTCGAAAGCCCAGCTGCGCGATGGACAGCGCGCTCAGCCTGTCAGGGACTCTCTTACTGTTTTGGTCTGTAACAGAGCCTGTGATTGAACGAGAGAGAAGTAGGATGTATCATTCGATCCGGAAGAGTCTAAACTGCGGGGGTGAGATGGCTTTTGAGTGTTGGAATATGGATTAGAATCGATATTTCTTTGAAAATGAACATGATGCGAACTCTATCTCGAAAACGCTCATGAAAACAAAGGAGGATATTTCATTTTTTTCCCCTATTTTTCGTTGTTTTGGATTAAAAAGTGGGATGCATTTTGAAGAGTGGACCCTTACATTGAAATGTATGCTGTTGTTTCTTGGATTCTTCCGAACTGATCTGAACCATACGAGATGAAAGATGAGTATAGCGGTTCATTTTGCTCATTTTCAAATGAGCAGTCCTTTTGCATTTTATTTAACCCTTTCCTCTCTGGTGTATTGATTGCAAAAACAAGTCTAGAACATGGTTCTTGAGTGTTTTAGCTTTCAAATGATGCATAGTTTATGATAGTCAGATGAATATTTGTTATAAAACAAAGCTTAAAAAAGGTAATAAAAGTATAGCCACGCCCTCGACGGCCCGCTCGCGGGCCGATGCGGGTTGCTGTTCTTTGAACTTTCTTTTCATCTAAAAATTCTGAAAAAAAGTGTATTCTCACACAAAAATATGAACTGTTTTCAACGTTGATAATAATCATAAATGTTTATAAGCATCAGCTCATCATATTAGAGTGATTTGTGAAGGGTCATGTGACACTGAAGACTGTAATGATGCTGAAAATTCAGCTTTGATCACAGGAATAAATTACACTTTACTATATATTCACATAGAAAACAGCTGATTTACATTGGAATAATATTTCACAATTTTGCTGTTTTTACTGTATGTTTCATCCAATAAATGAGCAGAAGAGACTTTCCAAACGTTTGACCGGTTCTGTAATTAAAACTTTAGACACATGAAAAGTGCGTTCTTGCATTAATTACTAAAATAATTAAATGTAATGTTCTGAGTTTTTTACTCTGTGGTTTCATCCTGTCTGTCATGAAACGAGTCGTGCCCAAAACATTTTTATGAATCATTTTTAGCATGTTTAAGTCACTTCTGGGTATTTTGATCCGTAGAGTAAAGTGAAACACACACACACAGATCCTGCTGACCTTCCTCTCAGATCTGTGTGTGTGTGTTTTATAGTTCTGTCACGCTGTGCTCATGTGAGCTTCAGCAGAACCATTACTGTGTTGCCAAAGCATTCGAGCACTCGCATATCACAGGTGTGTGAAATAACTGCACACACACACACACACACACACACACACACACACACACACACACACACACACACACACACACACACACACACACACACACACACACACACACACACACACACACACACTCTCTCTCTCTCTCTCTCTCTCTCTCTCTCTCTCTCTCTCTCTCTCTCTCTCTCTCTCTCTCTCTCTCTCACACACACACACACTCTCACACACAAACACTCACAGGCTCACACACACACACACACAGAGAGTGAGAGAGTGTGTTGTCGAACACGAGGGCTGGAAAACTCTCACCTCTGTCCCAGTAACACAGGAGTCGCGTTCCCCTCGTGTGTTCAGAACAGAGGCGGCGGCGGACATCGTCAAGGTCAGAGCTCACCGTGTTTTCGTGAAACAAGGTTTCTTCATTCTTTAACGTCACGACAGGATGAACATCCACATCTCGCGGGGCTCGTCTAATAGTTAAGACAATGTGAGGAGGAGGAGACGTCATTTCTGCTGTCAGAACACACACACAACATAATAACTTCTCCTTTGTCTGACAAGGTCAATGACTTATGAATGAAGAAAACTTGTAGAGCAGTATCTGGTATTCAATGCCAAATGTTCCTTTGTTTATTCATTGCTTTGTTTAATTCAGTGAGTGGTAATTGTAATCCTTACATATAATCAGGACTTAAAACTAACTTTTTCTCTATTCCAGTTTCGATTCCACAGCTATAACTACTAGCCTAACAATATACATTTTAAACATTATTAAAGACAAGACTATTAAAAACAGTAGTTTTCAGGAGGCAACATTAAATAAAGTTATCAAATGTAAAATAACACTGAATAGTCTTCACTGTATAAATCAAACATATGGACTTATTATTGTTTCAAAAGTTATTCAGTCAAGAGCAGTGAGTGATTTCCTTGTCTTGTGTTGTTTAACATTTAAAAACACAGAAATATTAGGCTGCCGTCACTTTAAGACCGACACATGCGTTGTCTTTCTCTACTGTTTACATTCACTTCTTAAAGGATTAGTTCACTTCAGAATAAAATTTTCGCTTAAAATCAATCATTTTCTAAAAAAAAATACATTTATATAATTTTTAACCACAAATGCTCGTCTTGCACGTCCACGACGTCACACATTACGTAATCACGTTGAAAGGTCATGCGTGTTCCGGTTCATAAATGTAGGGTTCATAATCTCATTTTCTCCTCCAACTTCAAAATAATCCGACATGGTTGTTTTACCTTTTATTTTTGATTTAGTCTTTGCACGTTCGCTTTGTAAACACTAGGTCTGTTCTTACGCCTACGTCACGCTTGACCTTTCACCCTGATCACGTAATGTGTGTCGCATCACAGCTAGTGCAGGATGAGCATTTGTGGTTAAAAAGTATATAAACGTTTATTTTGTTATAAATGTCCGCTGGTTTGTCTAGATCAGACTCTTATTCCTCGGCTGGATCGTGTCGAGACTTTGAAGCTGCACTGAAACTCACATCTGGACCTTCGACCCGTTGGACCCCATTGAAGTCACTATATAGAGAAACATCCTGGAACGTTTTCCTCAAAACCCTTAATTTCTTTTCGACTGAAGAAAGAAAGACATGAATATCTTGGATGACGTGCGGGTGAATAAATTATCAGGAAATTGTAATTCTGAAGTGAACTAATCCTTTAACCCGTAACTGACTGTGTTTACTTGGATACTTGCCGAGACGGGCATTTATGAGATTTTTTGTGTGAAATAGTCCGTTCAAGCGCAAGAAGACGTGAAACAGAGCTTGATGCAGTATTCCTGCACTAACTAAATGACTTCTCTTTTGCGTCTTCTTGCGCTGGAATATTTAAAATGCCAAGGCTTAAACTTTCGTAATGATGCAGCACTGGTCCGTCAACTGTCCCGAGTATCAATCATGTTTGTTTACGTTCATGTTCTCACAAAATATTTCATTAGATTAAATTTCATAAAAAGTAGTGCTGGGCAACGATTAATCGCATCCAACATAAAAGTTTGTGTTTACATAATATATGTGTACTGTGTATAATTATTTTGTATATATAAATACACACACATGCATGTATATATTTAAGAAAAATGTGTTATTTATATATAAAATATTAATATTTATGTATAACATAAATTATGTATAAATATATACAGTGTACATGCATGTGTGTATTTATATATACAAAATAATTATACACAGTACACATATATTATGTAAACACAAACTTTTATGTTGGATGCGATTAATCGTTGCCCAGCCCTAATAAAAAGTTACCGACCAACAGGCGATTGACCCAATTTTTACTCTCATTTGACGCTTGGCGAGTGTTGATTTTACATATACTTGCATATAATACATATACTTGAGAAATGTAATTTATTTTGTGTCTTTTGATTTTGGGGTCCCTGGGAATGCATAAACTGCTCAAATGTATGCCTTGAATGCAATACATGTCACTTTAGACGAATGTAAACGGCGGTTCTGTGAGCTTCACGATGTTGTTGCCGTGTGTCACAGGTGCTCCTGTAGTCGTGTCTTTCCCCCACTTTCATCTGGGTGATGAGAAGTACGCCAACGCCGTCGAGGGTATTTCTCCTGTCCACGAGCGTCATCAGACCTTTCTGGATCTGAACCCTGTAAGCGAAACACCAGCTGGTCCACCATCAGCTGCAGATCCACTCACCCTTCAGACACTTTCAAACACATTCTCCATTCATTTCAAATTGAGTAACATTAAAAACACAGACAGCAGCAGAAATATTAGGCTGCTGTCACTTTAAGTCCTACACATGCGTTCTCTTGACTCCAGCTGAGTCTGTTTGTCAGCTTAGAAGGGATACCGATGAGAAGGGAGTTGCAGTAATCCAGACGTGACGTGACAAAGGAATGAATTAAGGTTACTGTGACAATGAGGGTCTAAGCCTGGAGATGTTGCGGAGGTGAAAGAATGAAGTCCGGGGAATTGCTTTAATCTGGGATTCGAATGAAAGGGAACTGTCCAGAATGACACCAAGGCTTTTGACTTGAGTTGACAGAGGGACCAAGATCTCATCTATCTATGATAATATTGAAGTTATGCTGTAATGAAAGAGAGGATTTGGAGCCGATGAGCAGGACTTCTGTCTTATTGCCATTAAGTTTCAAAAAGGTTGTGTTCATCCATTTTTGAATGTCTTGAAGGCAGTTGCTGAGTGAGGTGGGAGGAAGGGGAGATGAAGGTTTAGTTGAGAGATAGAGCTGGGTGTCGTCAGCATAGCAGTGGAAGTGTATTTTGTGGCGTCTCATGATCTTGCCCAGGGAAAGGAGGTATATAATGAAGAGGAGAGGACCCAGCACTGAACCCTGGGGGACACCCTGTGGCACAGTCGCACAGGCCGGTTTATAGTGTTTGCGTTGTACGAACTGTTGACGAACAAAACCAAGAGAGTGCACCCCCTATGATACCAATGTTGGCCAGACGTTCAGTGAGGAGGGGATGTGAGATGGTGTCAAAGGCAGCGCTCAGGTCGAGTAAGATAAGAATGGACAGCTGCACAGAGTAGGTCGTTGGTGATTTTCACCAATGCTGTTTCCATGCTGTGTTTAGACTGGAAAGTTTATACAGGTCATTGTAGTTGAGATGTTGATGTAGTTGATTGGCCACGACTTGCTCCAGTATCTTGGAGACAAATGGAAGGTTGGAGATGTTCAACGGTAGTTGTTCAAATCATCAGGATCAGCATTGGGCTTTTTGAGGACGGGAGTGACAGCAGCAGTCTTAAGAGTGGGCGGTACTATCCCAGTGGAGAGGGATGAGTTAACTAATGTAGTGAGTAAGGGAGAGATGGAAGGTAGGCATGCTTTGAGAAGAATTTTAGGCAGGGGGTCTAATTGGGAAGTGGATGTTACTCTGCAAGCTCTGCAAGCTCTGATTTACTGACAAGCTCTGCAATCAGGTTCTCCGAAGCCAAGGCGAAGTTTGAGTGGGAGGTAGTAAAGGCAGAGCCCTGTAAGGTAGTTGAGTAGGACATGTTATGGACTGAAGTGCTAGGAATATTAAGTAGATGGTGATGAATGTCTTGAATTTTTGCATGAAAGAAGTTTAGAAACTTGTTGCAGAGTTACGGTGAGGGGTCAGAAAAGACGTCGTTAGGAGGCTTCAGGAGCCGGTTTACTGTGGAAAACTTAGAATTGTTTTTCCTAGAGTTGTTGCCTGATGTCTGGTAGCAGAAAGAGTGTTATTATATTGTACCAGGTGATATTTGTAGGCCTGTGCATGAGATACTAGGCCTGTCCGTTTATACCGGCGCTCAAGGCGTCTCCCACAGGTTTTTAACTGGCGGAGCTCAGGTGTGTACCACGGAGCCGAGTGGTTGAGGAGACAGAACGAGTTTTAGTGGGAGCAAGGGCATCCAAGGAGGAGGATAGGCAGTCATTGTAATGAGTGATGAGGTTGAGGGGACAGAGATCAGATGCTCATAAGATCAGATGGGTTAATGTGTTTTATATTTCTAAAGGCTATGGTGCGTTGGTGTTGATAGCTGGAAACAGGGGCAGAGACTTCAAATAAAACAGCTTTGTGATTGGAGATGGGTAATACCAGTTGAACAGACTAAATCTAAAGTATGACCTTTATTGTGAGTGGGAAAAGATACATTTTCAATGACATCAAGACCATCAAGTAATGACATAAAATCAGCAGCAAGGGAACAAGTAGTAGTGGCATTAACATGAATATTAAAATCACCAACAAATAATATATTGGGAGAATAGACAGAAAGTGAAGTCCTTAATGCAGAAACTTCAGTTAAGAGCAGATCAGATGGCTTAGGTGGCCTATGGAGTGCTAAAATTATCAATGGTTGAAAGCCAGAGAGTTAAACAGCCAAGCATTCAAATGAAGAAAACTAAGGTAGGCCTATACTGATTGCAGTTCATGATCATAAATCATGATATGTGTCTTTATCAGATTCAGGAAGGCTATTCCGGAGTTATGCAGAAAACGTGATGTATGATGTATTTGTTCCTGTGTTTACTGCAATCTGACTCAGATCTTGATTTCTTCCCCTGTGCCAGACTATGGGAATGCCTGTTCGTGCCATGAAAAGAGCCCAGATCAACATTCATCTCGACAGAATAAGCGGCTTTCCGTGAGTGATGTTTTCCTGTCTGATATATTTAATCACGGCGTGCTGATAAACAGGCGTGTGTGTTTATATAGTTTTATAGCTGAAGATCTTTGTCTGTTTGTTTCCTCAGTATGACCAAGAGTCTCAACAGCACTATCTTCCCCATTGTGTTTCTGAACGAGGTGAGAGTCGCTGGGATGATTTAATCAGACAATAGAGAGCCTAAGCCTCACCCCTCCGCTTCCGGCTCATGGGACCTTATTTCGGAAAAAATCTGTATGGTAGTCAATGGCGAGAGACAACTTATCTTTTTATTCCGTCTGACCTGTGCCCTGAATTACACATATGATGGTTGTCAATTTAAAAGATAATTCTGAAAGTCAAGAAAGTCGCAGTTTGTCATAAAACAGAAGAGTAACATTTAGTTTTATGTGAAAATCGCTCGATGAACTACATCTCCCGGGAAGCGAAACAACGAGCGAGATCCGCTGCTCGTGTGTGTGCAGTCTGGCACAAAACACTCAGGCATGACGGCGTAACGTTAGAAACAATGACAGACGTTAGCTTCAGTAAAGTCAGCTTCAGTAAAGTTAGCATCAGTAAAGTTAGCTTCAGTAAAGTTAGCTTCAGTAAAGTTAGCTTCAGTAAAGTTAGCATCAGTAAAGTTAGCATCAGTAAAGCTAGCATCAGTAAAGTTAGCTTCAGTAAAGTTAGCATCAGTAAAGTTAGCTTCAGTAAAGTTAGCATCAGTAAAGTTAGCATCAGTAAAGTTAGCTTCAGTAAAGTTAGCATCAGTAAAGTTAGCTTCAGTAAAGTTAGCTTCAGTAAAGTTAGCATCAGTAAAGTTAGCTTCAGTAAAGTTAGCTTCAGTAAAGTTAGCTTCAGTAAAGTTAGCTTCAGTAAAGGCATCAGTAAAGTTAGCTTCAGTAAAGTTAGCTTCAGTAAAGTTAGCATCAGTAAAGTTAGCTTCAGTAAAGTTAGCATCAGTAAAGTTAGCTTCAGTAAAGTTAGCTTCAGTAAAGTTAGCATCAGTAAAGTTAGCTTCAGTAAAGTTAGCTTCAGTAAAGTTAGCATCAGTAAAGTTAGCATCAGTAAAGTTAGCTTCAGTAAAGTTAGCTTCATTCATTGAGAGAAAATGTGCGCCTTTTGGGTTTGTAGTCTTTGTAATTGCGTGATTTTTCCCCCCAAACCACTTCAGCAGAAATCCCGCCATGTCAATCACTGTACAGATTGCCTACACCAAACACTGATCCCTAAACCTACCCGTCACTGTAACCTAAACCAATGAAGTCGGCTGCAGGGCGGGATTTCCGCTGAAGTGGTTTGGGAAAAAAAATCACGCTTTGTAATTACGTATTTTCACAGTCTTATACCTCAACAGTTTTACATCAAACTGCGACTTTCTTGACTTTAAAATGTATCTTTTAAATTGACAAACATCATATGTGTAATTCAGGGCACAATTCAAACGAGATCAAAGCCGGAAGGGGAGGGGCTTAGGCTCTCTATACAGCTGAATATCGTATTGAATGTGTGTTTTCATGATTTGTTTTGCAGTCGGTGGTGATTGACGACGCTTCGGCCGCGAGGATTCATAAGCTGCTGCTTATCGTGACTCTAGTCTCTCATTTTCCTCTTATCATCGTCGCTCTGGGAGTCATCCTGCTCTTAGTCTCTATCGTCCTGGCCATACGCTTCTATCAAAACAAGGTAATGAAGTGTTGAAAGCAGTAGAATCACGAGTATTTCCCCTGATTATTCTTCACTTTCCCACTAAATCATTGGCTGCCAGTGCGGTTCACACGAACTAAAGCTGCGTCGTGTGTGGTGGCAAACAATCATCACTGAATAAGAGACAAACATGTAACAATTGTCTTTAACAATTATTTATTCCCTCGCTAGGAAAGGTCAACAGTCATACAGTCAACGTGTGACAACGAATGGCGCATCCTTCCTTCTTTATAGTTGTTCCTCCCCCAAGGTGTTTCTCGAGGCTAAATGAAGATATGTCTTAGCCATAACCAACACAGTGTTAAGTTTGTCTAACATGTTTAGTCATATTATACTCTTGAATGGAGACCTTCTGTCAATTCAATTCAATTCAAATTGCTTTATTGGCATGACTGTATATATTACAATATTGCCAAAGCTTGGAATACATAGAATTATAAAGACATCAAAATACTCAAATATTATAACATAAATAAAATTTAAATGTACAAATTAAATTAATTGTACAAGTGAACAGTGTAACAGATTAGAATATCTGTGAACATTTGATACCACAGTGTTTTAACATACATAAACACACACACACACACACACACACACTACTGAGGGTCACTGTGGTGGACATAAGGGAAACACACTGAGGTCAGACACACACACACACACACATTCACCTGCTGTCTCGGTCATACACTTAGTCACACATTAACTTTTGTCAGGTCATATACAAGGACATCCACACACACATATTCATAAGGATATGTATCGACACTACATTAATCTAATTAACATCATATTTCTAAGATGCTATAAATATAATTAAATGCCAACATAAAGAACATTTACTAATTTATGCGCCAAATCATTCCGCAAATATTTATGTGTGTGTTCTGTGTGTGTTTGTTGTGGAAACAGAACGCTATTCTTCCACAACGACCTTTATGAATCAGTATTCACATTCACACGGTCACTGTTCATAGAAAAGACAGATGTGTGGCGTTTGAGAGAATCTGTGGAACTGGAGGTTCAAAAGCTCTTGGTTATGTAAACGTATAAAAAAACATTGACCTTTAAATGCATGAATGTTTCGCCAAGCATTATTACATATTCGGGTCTTTAGTGACCCGGATCTATACCTAACACAGATGGATCTCTAACTGCTGCAATAGTATAAAACTCTACTCATATTTTTATAATAATTACAAAATAATAAAATAAAGCATATTTCGTTGCCTTTTGGAGCTTGGGAGGGTTCGATTTGAGCAGATGTTTTTCACCATCATCACTTTCCTCGTCAGAGCTCATTTGGCTCATATTCGCCATCTCAACCGTATTCTCAAAACTATAATTTTCAGTACCTTCAAAGTCAATATTTTGGTCGCTGACAGCTTCTTCACCAGATCCATGTGACACTAATATTAGATTGCAATAAGAGACTTGTTCTGCTGTAAATCGCTGAGCCATTTCAAGTTTTGCTGATATATTCATTTGCTTTATATCTGCGGTAATTATGAGTGAAATATCATGCCATTCATGTCTATCAAACATCGCCACCTTGAGGAATAAAGGTGAATTGCACTTAGTGAATCATCAGAGATTCTATATATTGTTGTAAAAAAAAAAAAAAAAACACTATTACATACCTTGGGTCAACAGCGACCCTATGAACTTTTTACAAAAAAAAAACAGAAAACAGACATTCTTTTATAAAATAAATTCTTGCTCTATTGTTTATAATGAATAGATTGAGAAATACTAAGAAGTCTAACTTTAAAAAAAATAACTAGGAAGAGGGTAGTAAATGACGTCCCGGGTCACTAAAGACCCAAGTAATGCATTTAAGGGATAAGAAAATATTCTATTTTATTATTTTGCACTTTGATTATGAGAATGTTACCTTTAATGTTCTCTGAACGATCTGAAATAAGTAGCTGGTGACGTTTAAAAAACATTCTTTGTTTGAAAGCCGATGGCCGATAATTCTTTATATTTGTAAGCCGATAACCGATAATTCTTTGTTTGAAAGCGATAACCGACAATTCTTTATATTTGTAAGCCGATAACTGATAATTCTCTGTTTGAAAGCCGATAACCGACAATTCTTTATATTTGTAAGCCGATAACCGATAATTCATTGTTTGAAAGCCGATAACCGACAATTCTTTGTTTGAAAGCCGATAACTGACAATTCTTTATATTTGTAAGCCGATAACTGATAATTCTCTGTTTGAAAGCCGATAACCGACAATTCTTTATATTTGTAAGCCGATAACTGATAATTCTTTGTTTGAAAGCCGATAACCGACAATTCTTTATATTTGTAAGCCGATAACTGACAATTCTTTATATTTGTAAGCCGATAACCGATAATTCTGTTTGAAAGCCGATAACCGACAATTCTTTATATTTGTAAGCCGATAACCGATAATTCATTGTTTGAAAGCCAATAACCGACAATTCTTTATATTTGTAAGCCGATAACTGATAATTCTTAGTTTGAAGGCCGATAACCGACAATTCTTTATATTTGTAAGCCGATAACCGATAATTCTTTGTTTGTAAGCCTATAACCGACAATTCTTTATATTTGTAAGCCGATAACCGACCATTCTTTATATTTGTAAGCCGATAACCGATAATTCTTTATATTTGTAAGCCAATAACCGACAATTCTTTATATTTGTAAGCCGATAACCGATAATTCATTGTTTGAAAGCCGATAACCGACAATTCTTTATATTTGAAAGCCGATAACCGACAATTCTTAGTTTGAAAGCCGATAACCGACAATTCTTTATATTTGAAAGCCGATAACCGATAATTCTTTGTTTGTAAGCCGATAACCGACAATTCTTTATATTTGTAAGCCGATAACCGATAATTCTTTATATTTCTAAGCCGATAACCGACAATTCTTTGTATTTGTAAGCCTATAACCGATAATTATTTATATTTGTAAGCCGATAACCGATAATTCTTTATATTTGTAAGCCGATAACCGATATATTGGCCGATAAATCTAAATCCAGATTTTTATATAATTTTTGAGAGCCTGATTACAAAACCAAAAGTCTCACCATTAAAATCCATGTCCCAAGAATACAATTATAATGTTCTATTTATAATTTTATATAGCCTATATGACAGACTTAAATGACTAGCAGCTTGAATCTAGACTGTGGTTTATGTGACTCTGTGGTTTGTGTGATGCTGTTTCCTGTCGTAAATCAATCGCAAGTTACTAACCGCCACATCCTGCTCTCCAGATCAAATCACTAACCTTGTAACAATGCTGTGCAATCTTGCTTATTAATATTGCATGTCTAACCTGAGCAAATGAACACATGTTGTGCTGATCTGCTTTTATTTAGACTGAAGTGAAGCGTTTTGATTTCGCTTAGGCTTTCCGCTGCGCTCCTGTAAGTTCACACACTCATTAACCATCTTACAGTTGACACTGCTAGTTCAGGCCTGTTTCACACATCGCACGTCTGTGGTGCATATTCATTTCTGCAAAAATATCATATAAGATTGTGTCACATGCTGAACACCTGTACTCTTCCTGTTGCTCAAACAGTAGATCATGCTGCTAACAAGCTAACAAAAGTATGTTCTTAGAACGTTTTGCTAATATTCCCATTAATATGGTATTTCTGAATGTTCAAAACATCCAGTTTTTTAAATATTTATGTGAACGTTTAAGGGACATTTCATATCATTCTTCAAACATTATGGGAACGTTACTTTTGAATGTTCTCTGAAAATTCCCAGACAAATTTGAACAACATTTACAAACATCCAGAGAACGTTCCATGAACAATGTATAAATATTTTTTTTGTGAACATTATTAAAGACCAGATAACTTTAAATGGATTTACGTTTTATTAATGTTACTGAACTTTGCCAGAACGGTCACTGTTAGCCTCTGCCTCTAGGAAATGCATGAAATAATCAAATGTAAACCCTAAATGCAATGCAAGATGCTTCGAATAAAAGCGTTTGAAAACATTAGACAATGTCCAAATTAAACGTTTAAGAGAATAAAAAACTTTTAATGAATGATGTATAATTTTTTGTATGTATAAGGTTTTTTTGTTGGTTCTGTTTACTATTATTATAATGGTTTGCGGGTCAAACTGAGCTTATCTGGTTTTAATACAATTCACCAAAAATCAATAATAAGTAAATAATAACTACAGCAAAGATATTTAAAACAGTATTATATTTTAATGAAATGATGACTTTGACACATTCAACAATAAGAACATATATAAATTTTTTTATGTAGAACATGAACAGGATCTAGTCCTCTCCTGAGTCAGACTCATAAGCAAGGGTATGAATATGTAGATGCATTATTAATGTAAATACTCAGATGTGTGAATCAGGCTTAACTTACTTCAGCTTGAACTGAATCTCCGTCTGGTTAATCACATGATGCTCTGAACTGGTGTAAGGGCTAAAACATGCTGTACTCGAGGAAGATGTTGGCCAAGTGTTTGTGTTTCTTGACCTTGCATTGTTTGTTTTAGACTGATAACACACACACACACACACACGTCACATACTAAATAATTGTTGTGTTTTCTTATCTTATTTTCAGCCATCCGCAAAGAAAGACACATCATACGCTCCTGTGAGCGGCAAAGTGGACGATCAAGACGAGAAGAATGGAACGTTTATCGGCATGACATCCGTAGACAAGTCCTAAACTGCTGAGAGTGTGTGTGTGTGTGTGTATGTTGGAGTGTGTGTGTGTGTGTGTGTGTGTGTGTGTGTGTGTGTGTGTGTGTGTGTGTGTGTGTGTGTGTTGGAGTGTGTGTGTGTGTGTGTGGTCACAGATGCTGTCTAACAAGCACTATCAGTAGTATGTTGAGCGGTGTGTGTCAGTCACACACTGACTCTTCCTCAGGACTAAAGCCGTTAGGAAACGAGCATCTTGATGAACGACTGAAGAGTGTCTCTCTCTGTACACACACACTTCAGGGTCATTCAGCATCTGTTTAGTTACATATTTAAACACTTTAAGCATCACTGAAGCTGCTGTAAGTGATTTTTAGGAGGTTCACACACACACACTGATCTCGCTGTCCCTCTCCGTCCTCCCGCTCTGGACTTTGTGCTCCACAGTTCACATAATGACGCACACAAAACATATATTTAGGCCTAAATTTAAGATTCATCTATTTAAATTGCATATCAATTTTCCATTTGATGCCAAATGTCTGCGCTGTCTCAAGTCGGACAAAATTTCTAACCAGCATGCACTGCTTCAAGTCAGCCGCCGATCGATCTGTGCAGCGCTGCATGAAGTCCAACAAGTGTGTGTATCTTTTAGTGGGCGGGGTTTGACACAGAGGGCGTGTGTATCTTTTAGTGGGCGGGGTTTGACACAGAGGGCGTGTGTATCTTTTAGTGGGCGGGGTTTATCACAGAGAGGGTGTGTGTATCTTTTAGTGGGCGGGGTTTATCACAGAGAGGGTGTGTGTATCTTTTAGTGGATGAGGTTTGACACAGAGGGCATGTGTGTCCTTTAGTGGGCGTGGTTTGAACAAGAGGGTGTGTGTGTATCTTTTAGTGGGCGGGGTTTGACACAGAGAGGGTGTGTGTATCTTTTAGTGGGTGGGGTTTATCACAGAGAGGGTGTGTGTATCTGTTAGTGGATGAGGTTTGACACAGGGCATGTGTGTCCTTTAGTGGGCGTGGTTTGAACAAGAGGGTGTGTGTGTATCTTTTAGTGGGCGGGGTTTGACACAGAGGGCGTGTGTATCTTTTAGTGGGCGGGGTTTGACACAAAGGGTGTGTGTATTTTTTAGTGGGCGGGGTTTGACACAGAGGGCGTGTGTATCTTTTAGTGGGCGGGGTTTGACACAGAGGGCGTGTGTATCTTTTAGTGGGCGGGGTTTGACACAGAGGGCGTGTGTATCTTTTAGTGGGCGGGGTTTGACACAGAGGGTGTGTGTATCTTTTAGTGGGCGGGGTTTGACACAGAGGGCGTGTGCATCTTTTAGTGGGCGGAGTTTGACACAGAGGGCGTGTGTATCTTTTAGTGGGCGGAGTTTGACACAGAGGGCGTGTGCGGTTGAAGTCAGTAAAGCTCCTGAAATCACTTGCAGCACCTTTAACAATTAGACACTATGTTGACTGACTTTCACAACTTCTGAAGGCCAAACAAAAGCAACTTTATTTTTGTGTTACTAAATGGTCGGTTCACACAGGACGTGCGTTTAGAAACACCTGGTAGTTTTACTTTGACATGGCAGGCTTATGGTGCAACACCAGCGGCCAAAGACTGTCTGACACACGTGTAAATAGACAAACAATAAAGCATCCAGATACGCGACTGAACCTGGTGTGCCTTGTTAGAAATGTTTGTTTTGTTAATTTTGTGTCTTTTTATTTCAATGAACAGGTGACATCACATCACTGTGCCTTCTTACAGAGAAGTGTCATATACTAAAGTTAAGGTTTAATGATCTAATATTTGTTAATTTGATGTAAATGTAAACTTTGATCCTCAAACACTGAACCCAGACAAATGTCTGATTTATTTGAGATGATTTCAAGGTTTATTGTTATGAAGTGAAGATCTGTAAGTATTATTTGACAGAGTGAGATTGAATAGTGTTACTGAACTAATATTTCAGAATCTCTTCTGAAGTATGAAAATAAGTATTTTTAAAAGGTTCAATCTGTATGTTTTCACCGTTCAGAGGATCACACATGGGTGTTTTGATATGTTACAGTTTCATGTTTGTACTGGCTTTCCTTCAACTAGATGCTTTGGTGCAAAATCATAACATAATAACCTCTTACCGTCACTGCAGGTGTGTATTATCAATCACATAGCACTAAAATACACCGTATTAAATGTAATTCTAAAGCTGCACGTTTAACGCACTGTTTTTTGAGATGGTCACTGGTTTTAATCTCTGAGCCATTTTATTTGAGTTTTATGATTTCTTTGTCATTATACCGATGTGCCAAACATGAAAAAATGCACTTGATGAGTTTGATTCACTTGGACGTCAATGGAAAAATCATATTTATGAAATTTCATTTTTGAGCCCGAGTTCAAATGATAGTGTGTATTCGAGTTGAGACTGAATCTTTGTGCTTCAGTGTGAATGTAATGTGCTTTAAATGCATTTAGTGTCTTTTCAGCCTTTCAGGTGTTAAATTATGCAGATCTTGCCTTCATCAGTGTATAAACTATAAAACTCAGTGGCCTTCGATCGATGAACACAGACTGTGTATTGTCTTCTGCATCTGTCCAGCTGTTAGATTTCTATATTCAGACTGCACAAATAATTGTACAGTTTTGTATATAAATGACGCCTTTTCCCATTTATAAGAAAATACAATTAAAAAGACTTTCTGAAAGGCATATGTTTTGTATTTTATTTTGTACTCATGCACTCTAAAAAATGCAGGGTTAAAAAATAACCCAACCTTAACCACACCGCTGGGTCACTATAGGACAGAACACGCGCTGGGTTGGTTTGACCCAAGTGCTGGGTTTGTCCATTTAACCCATATTGTTGGGTCATTCATTTGACCCAACCAGTGGGTGAAATTGACCATCTTGCTGGGTTAAGTCTTACTCATGTGCTGGGTTATTTCCTGTATCATTGCCTTATTAAAATTAGTAACAAATATTTTTTTATATTACCGTACTAATGTAAAATAATGATTGTCTCTGTAATACAATAAACCAGAGAGGCCACTGTATATGTGATTTCAATCATTTATTTTATTTTTTTACATTTTTAATACATCTTTAATATTTTTTTGTAAACAATTATTACAATTATACAATGTATACTCATTCTAAGGTAAAAAAAACATAACGGTTCATTAAGTAAGGTCTTTATACACCACTGAAAACATAGTTATGTATATGATATTGCATTTCTGTTAACAGATCCTCCTAAATACAGTATTACACAATGCACCTTTAAAAGTCAATAAGAAACTAATTTGAACTCTTATACGATTATGATTTCATTTATTAAGATGTGTTGATTTATTAAGAATAGCTACAAACATTTACAATGCGACTAAATATCACAGGGTTTTCCTCACATTTGACAGAGGACGATTCTTTTCCATTAATTTGATACACTGCTTCGTGTATTTAACATGAAAAACAAAATAAAACTTTGAAACAAAGATCACCAGCCTCCAGCAAAGACTCGGTCTCGATGACGTGGCCTGGAACAATGGCAACGGTCTGACGTGTCCCCCTCGACGCATCCCTGATGCTCCAGTCATTTTGTAAATATTCATCCATGTTGGTCCCCAACTGTTGATTACACACAATCACTTAGAGTGTTGCAATATAACTGTCATGCAAGTTTTTTGTGAAAGTATTTATATTTTTTTTATTGCAAACATTACCAAATATGGCCAAATGTGAAAAACAAACAAAATGTATATTTACACATCTAAATAGACAATTAGCAGTCTAAAATAGTCTGGGATTCAGGATAAGACAAAAACACGATTTGGAAAATGGATTCATGATGTACTCGCTCATTATAAACATTTTGTACATTTTGAACACAAAAAAAGTTATGGACTGCAGCTTTAAAAATTAACAAAAATCTATTTTTAAAAAATGCAATTTTATGTTGCAAACAGAGATTGCACCTTTAAATATTCTAAACCTAAATTAATTTCATAGTTATCAAGCATATCAAACTTACAGGTTGCATGTCAAGGACCTCTGAGCCTCTGTGGTGGGTCTGAAGCCCTTTCCTCCTCTCCTGTAACGTTAGATGGATGGGGGAAGCAGAGTTTGCAGGACCTTCAAAGCCAGCAGCTAAACAATATGAGCATGATACATAAAGTTGCATTAACATTTAAATAGTATGCTGTATATAACAATTCATATTTCTAAAGTAGCATTTCTGACTTTTCTGCCCTGGTGTTTAAAATGGCGCTGTTGTGACAATAGCAAAAACTATTTATTGGCCTCAAACATCGCGCACACTTGATCCATGACCACTGTCTTAGTAGTACTAAATTATTCTTAGTAGGCCTACCTCAGGTCCTAACAACTTGTAATGGGTTCAGGGCGAGAACATGCTTAATATGAAATCGATTTATTTCTCATTGCCTCAGTCGCCGTTTGTAAAGATTGCACGTCCGACGTCATACAGTTATTATTTGATTTTTTTGGGTAAAAACGATCCTGGTTCCGACATAGACATTACAGAAGAAACACGCAGACTGTGCTGGAACTTACCCCCGTCGCTTCTTCTGACGAGAATTTCTTAAATGTGCCAGCAGACTTTAGTTTCCACACAGACTGCTTTTTCCCGCAGTTTTTACGTACGAGCCCTATAGGGACATAAACATAGGCTACTGCGCGTGCACGGGTTCATTCAAAACGCTTTCCTCACTTTTAATTACTAAACGTCCACAATAAATACGATATTTACGTGATGAAATTAAAATTTAAACTACATATTTCATCAAGGCTGCTGATATAGCTGGTTTACAACGTGGCATTTTGTCAAAAAATCTAACCGGCTAGCTGTTACTAATGTTTTACAGAATAAATACGTTATACCCCTCGCACTTCCATATCAAAGACTGTATGCTGAACAGTGAAATTATTAATGTTAAAAATATTGGTAAACATATTAACTTACCATAAAACACTGCCGGCTCCGACCTCCGAGTAAAGTCCTCCTCGAGTCAGAAGTGAAGAATCCAGAAAGTTCCGCAAAGAATAAACCGGTTGCTGGGTCAAAATAACCCAACCAGCTGTTTATTTGTGAATTACCCCCTTACAACTCATTTTACCCAGCATGAGCAACCCATTAATGTGTTTACAGTGCCCCAAACAACCCAGCATTTTGACCCAGCACAATCAACCCAACAATTTGTTTACAGAAACAACCCAGCATTTTTTTGAGTGTGTGTTTTTTTAATAACTCATACTTTTTATTATACTTATACACTGACATTAATAGCCTAAAAATTACATCTTAAATAGTATTTGACCACTGTATGAACCTAAACAGGTCAATGTATACTAACAAAACTAATTTCATGTGCTAATTAGGGTAAAATTAGCTCTTTAGGGTACCAGATTACACTTTTTATAGAGTACTTGAGACTGCAAATATGGTGGCTGTTATGATAAACTACAGTATTACTTATAAGTTGCTTTGGATAAAAAAAATAATGTAAATGTATGTAAT